GCCTTTGGATTCTGTCATTTCTATCTGTGCATTTGTTTTCTCTGTACTTTTCATTAAGCTCCTTGAGCCAGTGGTCAGTTCTCCATGCTGTATAACTCCTCCAATATCTCATACCACTGCTGCTTTGAAGAAACATCAGGGCTGTTCCTCTTCAGCCTTGATAAGGCTTTCTTCTGCTCCATTTTCACATTGTAAAGAATCACCATGATTATGTAAGCAGCTCATATGCCCTCTCACTTTGCTTTTCAGGTGAACTTACTACTGTCGGTGTCCAAATAACCAAGTCCCTTGGACTGTTGAAAACAGATGTAGAAGGTATGCCAGGCCAGAGCAAGGCTAAGGAGTCACCCATACGGCCTGCAGGACCTTGAGGGTTTTGGTGGGGAGGACTCTCAGGGCCCACAGACTCCTTCAAAGTCCTCTGTGCTTATTGGCATTGATTACAGAATGAAATCTAAGCAAAGGGTAAAAAGCACCAAAAATGCCAAAGATTGACTTGTAAACATAGATCACTGCCTAATGTTATTAAACTGGCTTTAGAAGTTAATTTGTGGACATGCAGTGAAATGATTCCTAGAGAAAGTATGTGCAATGAAAGTAGGTTACTAGTTAGGATTAGTGAAGAAAAACCTTGAGGAAGTTAATTAGAAAACTTCTAGGAGCATGGCTGTCTAAAGTGTTAGACGTTGTTGAACAAGCTCCCAGAAATGCTGTTCGTAACGCTGTGTACTGTTATGTTTCTGACACTACTTTGTAGCAAAGATGGGGTACTCTGGGAGCATAGTCTGCTTTCCTTAGAATTCAGGGAGTTATTTTTCTGTGTTTGATGTAAAGTAGTTTAAAGAAGCAGGTCCTGCACCTAGGCCCTGGGATCCCTCCCTGCTCCTTGGATTGCCTTAGTGGGGAGCTGACAGGGAAGCGAGAGCTGCCGCCGCCTCGGAATGGGCATGGGAGGTATCTCTAATGAAAATCTGCAGCGTACAATTGCAGGTGTTTGTGAGCGGCAAGTGCCAATGAAGGCGTCTTCTGCTCGGGGAGGCTCTTACGTGTGCGGCCGGGGGTTACGCATCTCTCGTCCGCTGACTTCAGTCAAGGGAATGCTTTCATGGTCTCTGCAGTCACGTGACTTGGGACTCTGCGGCTGTTTTTCAGTGGAATGAATCTTGGTGAAGGAGATAAGGAAGATGGAGGACGAACACTTTAAAACTCACTGCTGTATATCAGGGATCATAAAAGAAATGATGCACATCCACAAATTCCTACAAAAGTATAGCTACTGACTTAGTCTGGGTTTGCAACCAAAGTTGTATAGGCGATGTGGCTTGTTTGGGAAAAGAAAAAAGAAGCTTCTTTAAGGGCAGTCAAACATTTGTCCAGAAATGAAGCACTGAGCAGGCCTCTGGTATGTGAGTGGAGTGGACTGTCCCTTTTTGTACAGTGACTCTGGCACGGCATTTTGCACGCCTTTAGCGGGTCCTCCTCGTTGTGTAGAGATGTTTCATATCCTAGTGTCTGTTATGTGGAGCGGGTCATCTGTTTTTCAAGTCAATTTACGTTTGTTGTAGGGTTTGCTTGATTAGCTGACTTTTGAGAAGGGAGGTTGAGAGGAGCTCAGACTTGTTCTCTGAAATGAACTAAGCGGGAAGATGTATTTATTCTTCCACTTATGATTATAAATATATGTTTAAGAACATAGACTGTAAAATATCCATTTTGTACAATATGTGTATATTTGGTCTTTTTGAATAGCCTTTTCCAAGAGACATGAGGGCATGATTGCTGTATAGTACTATGACTGATTGAATTACTTGTACAGATGAGGGTATGTTCTTAAGGGTCAAAATGTTTAGCAGCACTCATTCTTGTGTTTTGGATTTCTCATTTCTGAAATACTCAAAACACCTCTCAAAGTGCTGGATAGTTGTGATCAGACATTTGCTAAATGAATATTTGTTTAAATCTGTACAGTTTCAAGTGTTTACTTATACAGATAGTGTATATACTTTCAAATGATTAATTTAAAATGCTTTATATTATCTGGCTAGGAACTTGCAGTTTTTAATAAATGTGGATTTTTTTAAAAATAAAGATTTTGCTTCCTAACTTGTCCAGCTCTTTTATTTGTGTCTTCAGATTCTTCTGACAAGATGATTGTAATGGAAAGACAGAAGTACTAGAGACGTCTAAAAATCTTAGGGCAATTCAATTTTTTCTTTGTTAGCAAGACAGCCGTCTTCTCAAATACTGGCAGTATAGTTAATTGCGTTGAAAATTCAGTTTTTTAAATAGTAGCAATAAAAGCAAAATTGTATTTTCTTTGCTGATGTTATAATTCCACAAAGCTACATTTTCTTCTATAATTGCCTCACAAGAATCAGCAGGGGCCTAGTGGATAGGCAGGTGTGTGGGCATAGCTGGGAGCAGAGAACACCTGAACTTGGTGTTCAGGGGTTGGTCAGGTGGGAGCCCTGGTGCCTGAGGAGCCTTCGTTTTAGGCCTGAGAGGACTAGGGACAAGGAGCCCTGTCTGTGGGGGAGTTGAGTCTGTTTTGTGACAGGAAGGGGACCTGACTAGGCATACTGGAGCCCGGAGTCAGGAGAAGAAAGGTAAAAATTTGGTGGATAGAAGCAGCCCTTGCAGAACTCAGACCATGTGCAGATGGGCAGTGAGTGTGCAGTAGCAGATAGCGAGGCAGCTTGGGAGTTAGTTCAAGATGTGGATCTGATGCCCACCAGCCTTTGTGACTCCGCCTCTTTGAGTCTCATCCATAAAATGGGAATGGAAGTAATAGCACCTTCAAAACAACTGCAGAGTGCAGGAAGTATTTGGGAAGTCAGTCCATCAGAACATACACAGTACTTGTATATAGTTACAAAATGGTCCCGAAAGCAGTAACGAACAAGGTGAAGAGCTGGAGGAATCTTCAGTGTTCATGGTAGGTCATTGCCAAGGTAATAAAATGAAAATGCTGCCAAAGTTAACTTACAGATTTATTTTATGCTCTACCAGCTAAACCACCTGAGGAATACTTTACAGAGCTAGGTGAAACGTTAATAAAATTCATTTGGAGCAACAACATACCTAGAATGTCAAGGGAAATGTTGAAAAAGGGGAAAAGTAATGAAAAAGGAACAACACTATTATGTAGTTATACATAATAGTTATAATAGCTTATAATAATTACGTGTAACATGTTTTAAACCAGAAGTCATTAAAACCACTTGGTATGAGTTAAGAGATAGGAAAGTAGGTCAGTGGAACATACTAGACAAGGAATACTCTGAAATGATGGCTCTCAATCCATCATTCAACAAACTCCCGAACATGAATGGCCTTTGTGATAATTTCTGGGAAAATTAGAAAGCATCCTGGTAGAAATTAGGCTTAGGCCAATGTCTTACACCATATTCCACAATAAATGCAAAATGAATACATGACCTAGATGTTGAAGGTGATCTCTTTAAAACATTAGAAGATTCATAGATCGTACACTTTTCACAGCTATGGTTAAGGAGATGAATTCTGTAATAATAATAATAATAACAATCAGCATTTATATCACACTTATTATAGCCAGGCACTGTGCTATAAGTGTGTTATGATAGCTTGATTTATTGAGATAACACCAAACTAAACATAATCTTAACTTATCAACTAAGCAAGGGACGGAGGCAATTGCAAAAAATTAAATAATCTTGATTATATGAAATTGGAAAGCTTTTGCAAAACAGAATTAATGCATTTAAGAAGAAAAATGGTTGTGGGAGAAAACAGCTTTGTATAATTACCTATGGGTTTCATATCCAAGATAAGTAGACAAATGAACACAATACATTTTATATATATATATATAAAAAATCTGTATGTATATATCTGTATGTGTA